GATTTTTCCAAGGGTAGAAAATGCGTTTCTCTAAAGTACATAAACTTTTGGAATTGACTGTATAGTCAGTACATCCTTAAGAACACCGGAAAGAAGTAAATTGAAAAATGATCTATTTTATACGGAAAACGGTCTCATTAACTGTAGGAAGATGTGTACCGGCTAAGATAGATTGCGCCGTGAGTAAATAAAAGAAAGTGTAGCCAATTGAATTCCGATCACGCCGCGGAAGCGTGGAAGCTGTGCACGTAAACCTTGTAAGGGTGCAGAAGTAGGAATCGTAGTGTCACGCCATTCGATTAGCTCCAATACTAACGTTCGATGGCTACCCTCGTTTGCGCGTTGTCAGGCTAGAACGGAACGATTTGTCAGCGTAAAAAGTCTAGAGCAAAAACCTACATTTTCACGAGGAGCACAATACGTAATCGATCATTTATTCAGGTGTGTGTACATCACCGTTCGATCAATCGTCGCGCTTTTTCATTGAGAACTTTAGTTTCAAAAAAGAATTACGAATTTAGAGCAACTTTCAATTGCTAGTAAAATATATTTCGTAGATTAAATTTGCGTTTGGCAACATCCGTTCACTTCCGCGACACAGTGTCTAATACAATTTAGAGCCATCGGCACATGTCGCTGTTTACCAATCGCTCCATTAAGCTGTAAATTAATACCGAAGCGTCTCTCAATACTTGCCACGTCCGTTGACGTAGCCACATTAATTCGTATATCGATATTATGGGTCAGAACGTTAACAACGCATGAAATCAAATTGTCTCAAGCGGTGAATTCCTGTCACGTTAATAGTATAGAACAAGTATAATACGCATCGTACAGCGATGTTTCAGCATACATATAACGAAAGGGCGATCGAACGAGATCGTTCGTCGTGAAATCGAATATCTTCGCGTCCTCCCTGGGGATAAGAAAAAGTCGGTTATCTACGACCTTTCTTTTTATAGCGAAGGCAGGGTTTTGGATCTACAGAAAAACCGTCGTCAACGCTTTAACGTGCTCCCTTTTTTAACTTTTGATGCGAACGATACGGATCGCTCTGCAATAAATGATTGAAATGATAAATATGAAAATTTGTATACGCCAATGATTAACGAGCCAAGATTACGCATGAATTCCGTGCACGTTGACATGCTTACTTGAGCAATAGCGCCGGGTAATCTTTCGGAACGAGTTTTGCATTTACCCTTATCCCGCTCGATTCTGTCAGCCCCAGAGATTCCGTTTTACGAAAGACTCGCGTGATAGGTGCAAAGTTAGGAACCCACCAATATTACTATGAACTTCGGGCCTACAAACCCGAGTAAAACTAATTACGCGAAAGAGGCTGCGAATCGTCGTCATCGTCGCCGTAAGAGAATTACAGGAAAGTTACGTCCCTGGAAAGTAATGGAATCGCATCTTTTTCCCTCTTTCGTGACGCTGACAAAATTGCATTCGTGTCGATCTAACTAATCTCTGGTAGTACTCTTTCATTTAATTCGAAGGATTTAAATCGGGCGTATTTATTTCCAGTTGGGCATACATATGTATATATTAGTTACATTTTCATAAACCGCTTTCCATCAAGATGACAGTTACGCAACATTATATTAGCATCTGCGTAAGCGTCAATTTTATAACGACATTTAGTCTCCACTCTTAAGTCGATTAATGCCGTTCAATTTTAATGTATGCAATGGACAATTTAAGTTTAAGCTGCTCAGCTTATGGATCACGAGTTTCGTATTTTAAAAAAAGTCAGGGGAACCTAGCAAACTTTTACTTGATCATAAATTACTAACGAATCTCCGTTTATTATTTGCATAATGAATATACACCTACGGAGTGAATTCGATTTGCTCGATTAGACGGAAAACGATATTTGCATTAGTTCGTGTAACTCAATATATCCAGTTTCGAGTAGTCGCTTGTTTACCACACTTCGAGGCAATCTCACGTCGTTATAGTGCGACGCCCCATCTCTTCGAGGACGTACAACACGACCTTACAATTATGCTATTAGGCTGGATCTTGATATTCCGTCAAGTACTCCAGTTAATCTACAAACTTGTACCGTTTTCCAAAAAATATAAACATCCACGTCTCTTTTCTGCAAAATAATTGAGAGAAGAACAATCGCGTTTCCGTTTCCGAGGTACGAATATTTGCTAACACAATAAGCATTCATCGTTTCAACGTTGCAAAGAAAAACAGCGTAATTAGGTAGACGCGTAGTTCATTGTTCCAGTTATGAGTTTTTCATGCGCAGCTGCCATCAATTCGCCCGGTTTCATTAGGCGACACCCTGCTGAACAATAACGAACACACGTTGTATTGAAGTTCGCGACCTTTCCATTGTTAACAGTCCGATTTCGGCAAAAGAAAAGGGAAATAATTGCTTGTTAACGACGTTCGAAGTACCTATCCGAGGATATTTTTGGCACTCTCTTTCTTTCTCCGAGCGTGTTTGGCGCAACGCCAACTGGGCTAAAGGATGGTTGACGACTGTTCAAACACTTGTTTGTCTTTGCTGACCAAGACTCATCGAGGACCAATCGGAATATTCGTTTTAGCGAGATTTTTTTATACGTCTATCTGCGGTTCTCTCTCATCGATTCGCGGGAAAGGCTTTCAAAGTAGATTTTAACGGCGACGAAAAAATATTGTTCCATTACACATTCACACACGTGTCCGGTAATGAAAGCCAACGAGTTCAATCAGTTCTGCGACGCGCTCGTTTTTTCGCATACCAATACCCGATAATAAAAACCTTTCGATTTTCGATGGGAAATGTAACTTTGACTTTTCGCATACGATTACCTCGAACTACTGACGCTCTCGCGGGATTCTGACAAAAACCGAAGAGTGTTTTACTTTATATGATCAAAATCCCGAATAATTTCTGTGAGCACGTGACAGAAATTTATACACGAGATCCGCGAACTTCATTGGCAAACGCAGTATTATGAACGCATCCAGCACATATGCATTGCACATACAACCCCCTTGGCCGTGGCGTCTGAATTCCGAGTGATAGGTATATACCCTCCAGTTTTATCTCGGAGTCCGTCGACCCCAGACGGAGTATAAAATATTAATCTAACACCGACGCCATGAAAATCGACGTTATTCAACCCTCGTACTTGAAATCTGATTCACAGTCAAATTTCACGATGAAATTCGTATAAATTTCAAATGCCCGATGGTGTTATTTACTACTTCCTTACTGAATATGCATATCTTCGCGCAGGACTGTCGCGAATACGTATTATATGTATAATACGAAGCAGTATTTCTAGTAAAAGGCAAACAGCTCCAGTTTCGTAACCTTAATTCGACATCATTAATTTCTTCTTAATGAATGATCAAGGCGTGCTTTCTCAAATATCCTTCTTCGGTGTTTATACGAATGTATTCCTGCCACGTTTTCCCTAGCTTGAATAAGGATTGTGCGTAATCCGAGCAAACGACAAAGGGTAGATACATATCATTCGGAAAATATTATATGAAACGATAAATAGGAGCACATCTACTATATAAATCCACGGTTCTATGTTTCACGAAGCATTTCATTAAATGTAATACGTTTTATGAAAAGAAATATTTAATTTCCTATTGAAGGCTACATTACTCGTACAGCGAGGATTAAATTACTAAAACCTGTATTTTTGTCGAAAATGAACATACAAAAAATCGTACATTTTAACATGAAGTTTCATACAATTTGCAGTAGGAAGCTACTCCCTGTTTCATGAGACTTGTTTTACAAAAGCGGCCGGCCTAACAATGAACGTTGAGTGGCGAGTAAGAGGCGAATAAGAGAAGTCAAGAAATCTCTTTGCACATACCGAATGACCTATTTACTCTCCGTGGTTATCTTCGACCATTTGTTTAGTTTCATTCTGGCAGAAGAAATCGATAATTATCGCGCGACGTACGAAATTGGAGAAGCAGAGCAATTTCGTGAGGGAGGGCCACGGCAGTGGAAAAAAATATTCTTGTCAAGGAACCACTGATTTATCTGACA